TTTGTGCAATATTGTAAACAATTATAAATTTTTTATGTTATTATTTACTGTTCCAAGATGGCGGACAAGCTTACATGTCTGGAGCAATGGCATCTACATTTCCAAGTGTTGAACTCCCATTTCAAATATTGGCTTTACTCTAACAATATATCCAAACAGTGAAACAGTGAAAATGAAATGCTTAGGATATTTAAAAGTAAAAAAATGTCTTTGGGAGTTTATATATTTGCAGTTTTTATAACCAGAAGCTTGGCAATGTTGTAAAAACTCATTAGCTGTGTCCCAAATCGCATACTTATGCACTATTCTACACCATTTTGTAGTATAAATAGTGTAAGTAGTGCGTTCACACTGAAAACTCTAAAAATAATAAGTGCACTTTAATTATTCGGATGATGCACTCATTCAGCCGCTAAGATTAAGTGTGGAATGTTGGACACTTCACGCACTCAACTACCGCAGGTTTGCTCAAGTAGCGGAAGGGGTGAAGCTTTATATTATGTTGGATAAAGCTGCGGTCACACTGTGCTTTTCCTCCCATAGACTTCCATTCATACGCGTGCAAATGTGTCAGACCGGAAACGCAGGGTCAAGCGTCAAGTTTCGCAGGGTGCTGCAGTTCAAGCTTGGTGACAACTGACATGCGAAATCGCATCACTTGACTGTGTGAGACCAATCGAGGATCAAAACATGAACTCTCTGGACAAGACATTTAAAATATGGAACAATCGCTTGCTTTTTAAATGTCTAATAATCTTGTTTAATCCCCCCCTTTTTAGCAGCACCGTACGACGGAATTTTGCACACACAAACTCTAGTGTGACCACAGCTTTATTTATTTTGGATTGTAAAAGCAAAATTCTCCTATGAGAGTGATTATAGCGCCGCCTGTTGGTGAATGTGGTTATACTAATGACAGGTATTATTTGATAGTTTGGTCATTCATTTCACTGATTTGGCAAGTCAAACGCCATCAGGGAAACGGTTTGAATTTCCACTTAGTAAAAAAACATTAGTGCTCCATTTGGGACGACACTACATACATTTACTATGCTGTTGAATGTGTAAGTGCATAAGTACACAGTGCATGAATGCATAGTGTATAGTGTGCCATTTGAGACGCAGCTTTTACCTTTTACAGTGAATATTGACTGTTCCAAGATGGTGGACACGTTGACTTGTCTGGAGCAGTGGCATCTACATTTCCAAGTGTTGAATTTCCTTTTCAAATAATACAGGGCTCAACAATAAGGACTGCCCAATGGCCCGGGGCCAGCGTGAAAGACACTCGGGACAGTAGACAGGATTGTTACTGGCCCCTATCGGCCAGTAACGATGAGCACTTTTTTTTTGTAACCTGGTAACAACCAGTAAAGCGAAAAGATGGCAACATGGCGGCAAAATTAAACAATGAGGCTAAAAGAAAATGTCTGTTTCTAAAGTCTTAGAAGCAGACAATTACATGGGTACAAAATTAAGAAACTGAAAAAAAAAAAAAAAAAACAGTTGTCAGTTTGGCAAGCCATTTTCAATACCAGCACATTTTTCAAACTGCTCTTTCATTTGCATAAAATCTTGAATTTTGCTCATTATACATTTATTAACATATTTAAAATGTTTAAATTCTAGATTCACAGGCATCATTTTGCCACTATTTAAAATATGTGGCTAAGAAATAGCTATTAACTTTTTAGTTTTTTTTTTTGGTGGGGCCAGTGAAAATTTTGGCAGGGCAAGTAAAATTCTCAACCAATGGCCCGATCGGACCTGTATAAAAAATCCTTAGCGTTGAACCCTGTATTGGCTTTACTCCAACAATATATACAAACTTTAAATAGTGACAGTAAAGCATTAAAGACATTTAAAGGTAAAAAAACTGTTAAAAGGTAAAATAAAAAATAATAAATAAATAAATAGATAAAAAAGTTAATATATTTGCAGCTTTTATGACCAGAAGCTTTGGAATGTTGTGAAAACATTAACTTTTACTGTAAATTTTGACTGTTCCAAGATGTCGGACATTTTGACGTGTCTGAAGCAGTGGCATTTACTTATACCTCAAGTGTCAACTCCTAGTTCAAATATTGGCTTTACTCTAACAATACTGTATATCCAAACCTCACACAGTTAAAATGAAGTGTGCTGCTCTTAATTGTAAACAGACCATTTGTAAAATCGGAATCCTACATTATTTGTCCCTTTCACAGACTCCGAATGCGTATCTTGGCATAACGGCGTTTATAAAGCGGACGTCCACTAAACGGATTTGGATTAGTGCTCTGTCACAGTGTGACCTCTAAGACTCTCTGTGATTTGACCTGGATTTCTTTCGTTATGCCTCTTCCAGTTCTGCTGGCCTTATCTGGCAAACAAGCCTGCTAATCTGATCAGGCAAATCCTTCTCTACATCAATCTACAGCTCTGTGCAGTGCTCTGGCCTGTGAGACGTGTCACTGTATGGCTGAGACTCAAAACCAGGAAATGCTGGAGGGAAAAATAACTCAAATGCATTCACTGTATTTCCCCCAAACTATTTTGAGGAAAAGATAAACCTGTCGATACACTTTTCAGGTCATGCAGGTTATAAAAAGAAACTAAAATGTAAACGTTAAGATTAGGTTTTAACTTTTAAGTTAAAATGATAACACTTCTATTTTATTTTCCAGATATGCCAAAAAGGATACCTTGTGAATGAGTTTATTAAAAAAAGATTTAATGTTGACATGTGTAGCTGTTGTTCAAATCTTCCAGAAACACTTGATTACTTATTTATTTACTTCTAAATTCTGTTTTACATTTATAAGGGGCTTACATAAAAAGCCTGAAAAATCTAGAAGCTCTAAATTGAGCTCAGGTACTTTCTGTTTCCACTGATCATTCTTGAGATGTTTCAGCAGCTTAATTGTAGTTCATCTGTGGTAAATTCAGTTGATTGGACATGATTTGAAAAGGCATACACCTGTCTATATAAGGTCCCAGGGTTGACCGTGCATGTCAAAGCACAAACCAAGCATGAAGACAAAGGAATTGTCTGTAGAGCTCCAAGACAGGATTGTCTCGAGGCACAAGGCTGGGGAAGGTTACAAACAAATTTCTGCTGCTCTGAAAGTTCCAATGAGCACAGTGGCCTGCATCATCTGAAAGTGAAAGATGTTTGGAACCACCAGGACTCTTCTTCGGTGATCGATAACTTTATAATCACTCTGTCTAAGCTCCACCGTTCTTCTGTGGAGAGAAGAGAATCGTACAGAAGGACAACCATCTGTGCAGCAATCCACCAATCAGGCCTGTATGCTAGACTGGCCAGACGGAAGCCACTCCCTGCCCGGAATTTGCCAAAAGACATCTGAAGGACTCTCAGATCGTAAGAATCAAAATCCTCTGGTCTGATGAGACAATAACTGAGCTCTTTGGAGTGAATGCTAGGCAATGTGCAGAGACATCAGAATGAAAACGTGCTTCAGAGTGCTCTTGACCTCAGACTGGGGTTGACCTCATTTTGGAATAAGGCTGTAACAAAAAATGTGTAAAAAGTGAAGCGCTATGAATACTTTTCGGATGCACTGTATATGGCTTTCATTAAACATGACTTCTCCTATTGATCCAGAAGATATTTTCTTTTACAAATATGATTTACATTTATATATTTTTTTGATGTTGTGAACTTTATCTTACTAATGAGTAAATATCCTATTCATAGATGTAAATGGAAAAAACGCAGGGCCTCTTTTAGGTGTTTTCTTTCTGAGGTAGGCTCAAAGCTTCAAATACTTCAGAAACCAAAATAAAATAACCGAAGCTCTTTGTATTCATTTTCAAAATATTAATTAAAATGCTTTTTTTCTTCCATTGATGTGTCTTTTGAACTGCTCCTAGTTGCAGTTGTTATCTGTTTTTATTTATTAGTTTAAAAGTATTTATTATTAGTTGGTATTATTATTAATATTATTAGTTTTTAAAGGGAACAATTTTCATTTAATTTAACGGTAAACATGCCTTGCAATGTTGATTGTTCCATGTTTTGTGGTGTACAATTTTTGCAACAACAAAAAAAAGAAATGCCAAAAATGGTGTAATTATAACAGTATGATTATAAAAACATAAAACATATATTAAAACATATTTTTTTTGTTTTCCAAAAAATCGAAATAATCAAAAATTACTCTTCTATTTTGTTTTTCAGTAATGGCTAAAATCGTATAATGGGCTCTATAGTTAAGTTTTAAAGCCAACGATAAACTTGCGCTGAAAGCTTACTGTGACTATTTTCAGTTTCACAAGGTTGTTTTTACAGCATCGATGCATCGATGTTGTAATGCAACAGGCTAGCGCAGAAATTCCATTGAAAATACTGTGGAAAAATAAACTGTCATGTTTTAAAGATGGCGGCGGGGAATGGAATTTAATGCAGTGCTTCTTGTCTGATCTGAGACCCACTTTATATCTTATATCTATCAGGCAGTGAAGATTGCTGATTTTTTTTTAAAGAAATCAGATCTTAAATGTAACAATTTTGAAACGGAAAGACAGTTGACCAGAGGCTTTTGAGCTGCCTGGCTGAAAATGAAAAGTCAGTGTGCATAGCCCATTATAAAACCAAAGTATATAAAACCATAGCACTTTTTTTGCTCTCCAAAAATTGCAGAAAAAATATTGTATAATGATAACTGCATTACATTTATTTGAGCATACAACAGTATTTTAATTTGTAAGTTAGCTTCTAGAATAAATTAGAATGATTGGATTTGTATTACATTGGCTGCTCAAAAACAGTCAAAATTTCTGGAAACCTGTTTGTTTACAAAACATTAGTCTGAAAAGTTTTACACATAGCCTACAAGTGTATTTTGAGATCCTTAAAACACTTGCAAAGTTTCATTTTCTTACAAAAGCATGTTGTCTTCAATGCTGTCATCTTATTTTTAACACAATTGATTTAATTGCCTTAACGGAATGTTAATTAGCTCTGCATGTGCTAATTTGTTAGGCTACTTCGGCTTCAGATATGAGGCTTGTTCACTTTCACATGTGTTTCCCATGTAGTTTCCGTTCACATGCTGGAAGCAGAAATATTCAGCTCGACTTGCCTCTTTTCTGAACTCCTCCCCTGATTGCAACCTACTATTGTCGCCGACGGAGCAAAACTCAACTCACCGCTAAAAAGTGTCCGAATCGCCGCCAGTGGGTTGAACTCCTCCCCGTCTGCAACCGGCTCGACCAGCCGACTCGTTCATGTCGATCTATTGATTACACCTCAACAAATTTGGCTTCAGCCACAGAATAAACTTTCTCTCTGCCTGGATTGTTTCACTTCAGTCGACTTTAAAATGAAATCTGGCACTTTTAAAACAAGCTCCTCTCACCCGGGCGAACTTTTTCTGAACTCTTCATGAAACTGAACAGAAACGGTTTGAGGAAACCGAACGATACGGACACATTATGGCAATATGTGGCAGACGGAGTCGCTCCAAGTTTATCCTGTACATTGTCGGTGCTTTTGTAGTGGGCTATTTAGTATTTCACAGGAACACGCAGAGTGATGTGGGACTGGCGAAAATAAGAGAAGTGCCAGACGAGCACAAAAATGTGGACGAGCAGTTTCTGAAGAGACCTGTTTACGAGAAGCCTGCTTTAGATGTAAACGCGCTGGGAGAGATGGGCAGAGCTGTTAAACTGGACCTGAGTGGGGAAGAGAAGCGAGAGGAAGAGGAGAGCATCAAAAAACATCAAATAAACACTTATGTGAGCGATAGGATATCTTTACACCGCAGACTGGCTGAAAGATGGAACCCTCTGTAAGTGGTTGTCAAGTTGCTTTGACAGATATTTCAACCTCTGCTGGTCATTGACTGGTTGGTTGTTGGTGTAATGGTATTAGCCTACTGTATCTGGGCTTATTTGTATAGGACCAGGATGTAGAACAGGATACAGGGTAACTTTGTTTGGTTTAATCCATGACGAACCGTTGGGAAGTGTGGAAAATGTATGTTTTGTAAACAGTCCCCGTCCCCAGTGTCTTATGTGCGATTACTGATATAGGGAACGTCTATAAAGTTTTAAAGGTGTAGAAAAGCGTTCAGTCTCGTATAAGGGTGAAGTTTACATTTAGTTTTGTCATAAACCTTATACATAAAGTGTTTTTGATTTGGTATTACTCCCAAAATTGTTACTGAATTTGTAAAATAATGAAACATAACCTAATAATTATACAGTTAATCAATTATTATGATAGTAATATGGAGTTCCTAACTCCAAAACAAAGTTTGTTTCATAGAGGCTGGGTTTTTGTAGTTAACTAAAACTGAAATCCTAATTAGAATTTTATGAATATGTTCCAGTTTATTATAAAAGTATAATTTAATTAGCTTTTTATGTTGTTTTTGCATATTTAGTAAATTAAGCCCTTTATATTTAATGCTCATGATGATTAAAATGCATTGGTGCCACATACTTAATTATTTGTATTTGAATAAAACTATTATTTTGGCTGCATGATACATGAAAAAATGTGACATTGCGATATATATATTTTTTATATTTTATTTTTTATTTTATATTGTGATATGAATACGATGATTTGAATAGCTCCATTTGGAATGAAACCATTAACTTAGATTGAAATATTGGTGTAGATGAGGTAATCAAACAAACTGCAAGTGTAAATAGATAAGATAAAGCAAAGATAAAAGTAAATAAGTAGTCAGATATTCAGGTACAGTAATACGATACGATAATTTCATTATATTTTGCCCACGATTATGATAGATCACAATATCAGTGAAATATCACTAGAAAACCTTCCACAAAATATAATATTTGTTAATGGAGGAAAAATGCATCAAAAATTATAAGATGTATTTTATTAACAGCACATATATAGTTTTTTGAATTGCAACGTTGATATGTGTTCAATCCAACATTACAAGAAGCGCCATCTCATGTACTGTCACCTACTGTAAGTGGTAAATTGTTGTAGTACAAGGCTGATGAATTAGTTCAGATCTTTTGTACCTTTAAATAAATATCGATACTTGGCAACATCGATAATATATAGCGGGTAGAATTATCACAATAAATCAGCATATCTATATTTTGTCCCATACCCATTATTAAATAGTCAAATGTAATGTCAAATGTAAAATAACACTACAGTTTTCATTGCTGATCAACTATAATCCCAACTCCACATTGCAGATGCTGCGATGTGGCTATTGCGAATGCACACGTTTCGATATCGATGCTAAAACGATATATTGCGCAGCTCTAATTATTATCTACTTTTAATGATTTAAAAAAAAAACTTGTTTATAATCTAATATTATATTGTATTATTTTGTTATGTGCACTTGTCTGTAGGCCTGTCACAATTATTTATGAATTGTTTGCTCATGGTTATTCAATGAGTAAACATGAATGAACTAACACGGTCTGTCCCTTCAGTTGTAGAAATCTGAAATATGACTACCTGAGCCTGCCTACTACATCAGTAGTGATCGCATTCTACAATGAAGCCTGGTCCACACTATTGAGGACCGTGCACAGTGTACTGGAGACCTCACCTGACCTGCTGCTGAATGAAGTCATTCTGGTGGATGACTACAGTGACCGAGGTATCAACAATTGCTTATCTTAGGGTAATATATGTATTATTATGCACAATTCTGCTTTGGGAAATCAATGAACAGCTCAGACCAACATCTTAGCAACCACATAGGAAGTAGTTAATCAACTGACTTAACTATTGTTATAACACTGCAACCATAAAGATTGGATGTGCAAACAACACTTTAATTTTCTTCTGAATATGACGTGTGTGTAATAATCTCTGACAAAACATGGAAGTTATGGAAATTATTTTACCTGGAGAAAATTGTGTCATATTACACTTGTAAATCAGATGGAAAACTCAATCAAGCTTATAATAAATTGAAAAGAATAATAAAATAGGATTTTATTCTTCATAAACAAATAAAGTGTAATACAATTATACTTTTCCCCAGTCCTGTCCGAAAAATACATACAAAAATAAAATCATATCATATTTACAGCAAGACTCATAATGAGTAAATAAATTGAATCCATCCTTTATCTAAACACACCTACTTAATTGTCATTTTCCTTCGGCTTAGTCTCTATGTCAGAGGTCACCACAGTGGAATGAACCACCAACTCTTCCAGCATATGTTTTTTACGCAGCGGATGCCCTTCCTGCCACAACCCAGTATTCGGAAGCTACTTAATTTTATATATCATTTATCACACCTACTTATTTTATTTCTGGTTTGAGTATCTTCCTGTCAAAAGAATAGTGTTATCTATTTAAATGAAATGACAGCGCTATAATTAACCATGTCAGAAGCGAAAGCAGAGAATGACGGGTATTATTTCCTTTGTGCTTTATTTTTATGCCTTATGAAATTTATAATACGTTTGGTATTTATAAGGTGACATTAGTATCACATAAATATCTTTGGCCAGAGCTCTTTTGAGGTTCATTGTGATTTTGATCCTGCAGATCAAAATTTTGATCTCTTTGTGTTTCGTACACTAAGGTAATATTGAACATATCTGTAATATTGCTGCAGAAAGCCTCCTTTTGAGTTTTTTTTTTTTCATGGTGTGCTAAAAGTAAATTTTAAGTCCAACGAGATTCCTTTCCAGTAAATTAACTGTGTGGACACAACTGGCACCCCAATGTGCCTAGTTTTAATAACCACTTCACTGATTGTTTAATGTTTAATCAAAGTTGATTTTGAAGTTTAAATCGAAGTTGGTAATTTTTGCAAAGTGTCATTGAGGCTGGAAGGGCATCAACTGTGTAAAACATGCTTAAATAGTTGGTGGTTCATTCTGCTTTGGCGACCTCTGATTAATAAAGAGACTAAGCTGAAAAGAAAATGAATGAATCAATGAAAGCACAATTGTTAATTTAATTTGATGCAGACACAAAAATAAGAGATCTTATCTTTGACTAGTCACGGTACGATAGCCAGTTTTAAATATTACCGCGGTTTGAAAAAGTCAAAATTTTTAAACCGGTAAAATTTTCTGTTAAATCATTTCTACAGTATATGTAAGTTTTTTTTTTTTTTTAGCTTTTTTCTTACTTAGGGCAACAGGAAAGGACCCTCCACATTAAAAGCTACTGTTCCAAAATTTGTAAATATTTCTTAAAATAAAATATATTGTGTTCAATGGGGGAAACATGTTGTGTTTACCCAGACATTTAAAAAAGCAGCAATCACAATACTGTGAAATCATGATGTTTTTATTAGAGATGCTCCGATCGATTGGCCAAAGATCGGTATCGGCTGATAATCACATTTCATGACTCGATCGATACCAGCCAATCTGGCCGATCTCATGAACTGATCACAAGTGGTTGTTTACGAGCAGAGAACATATAAGAACTGAAATCTTTTTACATATCAGAACTGAAAGTGTTTTCAACAATATTGCAAGTTCATGAAAACCTGGCTGGAAATATAGGGAAATAAAACTTGAAGATTCAATAATATAACTTATCATAATCTACTTATTGCAATAAACAGTAGTTTATGGATCAAGTTCTTTTTAGTAATGAATGAATGGATTTATAGGTGTGCATCTTAACTTGTTATGCATCAAATATGTGCTCTAAACTTCGTTGAGATGTGTTGAATTTTTCTTCCATCATTTGCAATGTTTCTAAATTGCTTTTGTTAGTGACTTTTCTTATCTGTTTTTTCTGTAAAACTTCTTCTGACCATTACATGTGGACACTAAATGGTTATAAGATAATGTTTTAGGAATTATACAGTATGCAACATCTTTAATTTATTATCTTAGGTAAGGCAAGATCTCCACTTAAGAATCAAACTTAGAGGAAAAATGTGCTTCATGGATCATAAAGCTTGAAGCATCAGAATCAGTACTTGCTATTGGCTGATCACCATGACAAGGAATTGGTACATGGCTGCAATTGGTACATATCGGCTGCAAAAATCCTGATCGGAGCATCACTAATTTTTATCCAAGGTTATTGTACCATTAGAATTTTATACCAGCCCATGCCTAACTTTGACCATAGTATCTTTAAAAAAACACAAGTAATAAAGAAATAAAGTAAGTAGTAATGTAATAATAATAATAATAATAATAACAATAACAAAAATAATATAAATGAAGGCTAACCCAATTTATAGAGTTGCCTAGTCTAACATTAAGTCCTGTATTTCCTGTTTAAATTTAACAAAGAACAGAAAAAATACCACTGGATGCCATAGGAACAGTATATTAATGTTTAACTGCTATTAGTTTTGTTCAGTTTAATCAAATCTCACGTTGTTACATTTGGCTTAAACACACTTGCTTCATCGATGGAAAAACTATTATTTATAGATTCAAGGTTTGATTGTTATCAATGAAATAATACCACAGCAATAACATCATCTCAGCTCCACCCTGTGGTGAAACAGCAGGTTTTCCTTCATGCAAGAAGCTAGTTAGCATATTTCTGTTCCAAGTTCTGGCTTCATCTTTGCCTGCAGCCTTTTACTGATTACATCTCATTAATCTGATCCCCAGAACACTTAAAGGAGCCTCTAGAGAATTACATCGCCGATCTGAAAAAGGTTCGTCTGATCCGAGCAAGGAAGAGAGAAGGTCTGGTGCGAGCGCGGCTTTTGGGGGCTTCCATCGCCACAGGGGAAGTGCTGACCTTCCTCGATTGCCACTGCGAGTGCCATGAAGGCTGGCTGGAGCCTTTACTCCAGAGGTGAGACTTTCTATAGTAGACATAGGCAGATATTCGGCAATTCAATATATTGTGATAATGAACATGCACACTGTTGATATGGGCAATCCAAAATACAGTGATTGATTATTTATTAGATAAGGCTTTTAGAGTGGCCTTGTAGGAATATTTAGATTGTAATTGGCAGTGGTTGATTTTTAATAGACTATTTATTTTCAAACATCTCTGTTTTTTACAGGTTAATCTGACCTATTACGCTGACAATTCTGTCTCTATTTATAGACCTTTTATTGGTTAAATTTGTACAGGAGGTCCCATTTGTTAACATCAGTTAATTTAACTAAAGTCAATGTAATGACATCTACAAATGTCTACTGCGTCACAGAGGTTAGCACTGTCGCCTCACAGCAAGAAGGTTTCTGGTTTGAGTTCTGGCTGGGCCAGTTGGCATTTCTGTGTGGAGTTTGCATGTTCTTCCCATGTTGGCGTGGGTTTTCTCCGGGTGCTCTGTTTTCCCCCACAGTCCAAAGACATGCGCTATAAGTGAATTAGGTAAACAAAACTGGCCGTAGTGTATGTGTGTGTGTCTGAATGTGAGAGTACTGGTTTATTGCTGGAAGGGCATCCGCTGCATAAAACATATGCTGGATAAGTTGGCGGTTCATTTCAAGGGACTAAGTCGAAGGAAAAATTAATAAATGAAAGTGATGTTACTTTCTCAGTTATTGTCTTATAACAAAATCCATAATTGATTTATTCAATGGAGTTATTAACTTGTTTTTTAAGTTAATAATTTAATTTAAGTTTTTAAGTTATTATAATAGTTGTAATGCTTTAACATAACTGTAATATGGCCATTTCTAGCTGTTGATTTTAATGCGTTTACTGTTTACTAATGTAAAGTACTTTATCATCTTATTCCAATTTAATTTGCTTAAAACATTTGCCTACTCTGAACATGTATATACAATAAAGGAATACACTATATATAGTATCTTTTGGTTATCATACCTGTTAAAGCAAATTTTTTTGCAGCTTAGGTCAATATTGTGATAATAATACTAATCAGTTGAAACCAGAAGTTTACATACACTCTAAAAAAGGAACATAACCATTTAAAAAAAAATAAAGATAAATGTCTGATGGTAAATCATACTAAACGTTTACTATTTTAGGTCTGTTAAGATTACCTAAATCATTTACATTTACTAAATGCCAGAATAATGAGAGATTTTTTTTTTTGAGGATTTTTAATATTCATTTCTAGACAGTCAAAAGTTTACATACATTTCCTTGGTGTATTTTTTTTTTAGCTTTGCTTTTAAACTGTATAACTTTGGTCAGATGTTTTGGGTATCCTTCCACAAGGTTCTCACAATAGTTTGAAGGAATTTTGGCCCATTCCTCCTGACAGAATAGGTGTAACTGAGTCAGATTTGTTGGCTGTCTTGCTTGCACAAGCTTTTTTTAACTCTGCCCACAAATCTTCTATAGGATTGAATTCAGGGCTTTGTGATGGCCACTCCAAAACATTCACTCTGTTGTCCTTAAAGCACATTTTTACTAATTTGGCTGTATGCTTAGGGTCATGGTCTGTTTGGAAGACTCATTTGTGGCCAAGTTTTAATTTTCTGGCTGAAGTCTGGGATGCTGCTTCAGTATTTCTACATAATGTTCTTTCTTCATCATGGCATCTATGCTGTGAAGTGGACCAGTCCCTCCTGTAGCAAAACAGCCCCACAACTGCGCCCCCATACTTCACAGTTAGGATGGTGTTCCTAAGCTTGTAAGCTTTCCCCTTTGTCCTCCCAATGTAACACTGGTCATTATGGCCAAACAGTTCAATCTTAGTTCCATCAGACCACAGGACATGTCTCCAAAAATGTTTCTTTTTCCCAATGTAATTTAGCAAATTGTAATCTGGCTTTTTTGTTGATTCTGGCTTGTTGATTTCCCCATGTTGTCAGAAAAGGAAGGAGTGTGTTTGAGGGTTTCCTTTAATACTATTCTACAGGTGTGCCTCCAATTAACTCAAATGTTGTCAATTAGCCAATCAGAAACTTCCAAAACATTGACACCATCATCTGAGTTTTCTCAGAGGCTTAATAATCTTATTGTATGTAATCTTGACTTTCAAGAAAAGTTATAACAATTAAAAAAATATAGGTCTCTCATTATTCTGCTATTAAGCATAACAGATTAAATTTGACAGTACTAACTCACCTAAAAAAGAATAGGTTTAGTCACATTAACATCTGACTTTTTTTTAAATGGTTATGTTCCTTTTTATACAGTGTATATAAACTTCTGGTTTCAACTGTATATAGTGATGGTAATGATAAAAGCCTTTTCTTGCAAACAAGGTACTGCTAAAGAAAATTGATACCAGCAGAAGCCTAATCGACAAGCATGCATGATGTAAGGAATAATTGACAATGAGCCATTGCATTTTTATCTAGGAAACAAGGGAAAAAGGGTGTGCATTATTTTCTAAGAATTCAATGAACTCCTATTACTCTTAGCACACCTAAAGTTCAAGGTTTTTGTCCTCAAGCAGCTCCAGGGTGCAGTACTAGTTTCTTACACATCTCATCCAAAGCCTTTTGATTTGGTTTTTGACAGTTGTAGGCTGTGAAATAAATAATTTGCCAAATTAATATGGAATTGTAATTCGATCATGACCTGTCTAGAACTTCTTTAGCTATATGTTTATCTGTAAAATAATGGAACATCTGAAATGATTAGTTCACCTAAGTATTACAATTGTTATCAAATACTCCCTTTCATATTGATCCAAACCCTTGAGAGATTCATACAATTTATCAATATTTAATATCAAATCCAAAAGCTCCCCCATACCTCATAGACAGCTGCGGTCTCACCTCCTTAAACATATGAAAAAAACCATGATCAAAACACACCACATGACTTCAGAATATTACCAAGCTACGAGAATACTTTTGTTTGCACATACGTGTACACAACAAAAATAACACTTTATTTCAACAGTTTTTTTCTCTTGAGATTCAGTATAGGGCACGCATTAATAACAAAGCAGCAATTAATAACATAATTTTTATTTTTGGGTGAACTAATCACCAGACCTTTATTAGCCAATCAAAATTAAGCATTTAGTACACTAATAAAATGCTGGTTCCACAATCAATTTGTGTTGCGAAAACATGAAGGAATTAAGTTAACTTGTTAATTTTTACTAATTTAAGTGGATTGAACATAAAACGTTTAAGTTTCCCTCAAGAATTCAGTTGTTTCTGCTCCTTTAACTAAGTAGTTTGAACAAACAGCAAAATCTTTTTTTTTTTGGAGTATAGCCCCATATTATAATGCTGTTTAAATGTGCTCTATATGGATTAATATTATAACCAAATGCTGTGCTTACCTGGTATTTTAATTTGCATAACAAAATTTGCATGCTTTATTAGGTCAGAGCTCAACATTTTGTTTCATGAGTTTTTGTGTAATCCACTTTTCCCTCTCTCTAAATCCTGTAGAATAAAGGAGGAGCCTTCAGCTGTGGTGTGTCCAGTCATTGACGTCATTGACTGGAACACCTTCCAGTACCTGGGCAACCCAGGAGAACCTCAGATCGGAGGATTTGACTGGCGATTGGTGTTCACGTGGCACTCTATCCCAGAACATGAGCAGAAACGCAGAAGTGCCGCCACTGATGTTGTCAGGTCTGTGCTTTATAGTGGCTTCTGGTGGATTTTTGTTCTTTCTACAATTCTTAATATCTAAATACAAAAACCAAAGGACATAGATAAATTCTGTAGAACATAGAAAAGGCATGCTTAGCACTTACCCCGGGCACAATTCGGTTAGCCTAATGTGAGTGCACCTTAAAAGAAGCACTTCCAATCTTCAGAGAGCAGCAATGTATAGAACCCATGACAAGACTAACTAATTTAGCAGTTTTTCATGCATGAATACACATACAAAGAAATAGTGTCCCACTCAATTGTGTAAACCGTGGAGTATTTATTAGAAAAGTGTCTGCTGCATATAGTGAGGAAAAGAGTATGCCTTTAAATAGATCTGCTAAAACATTTGTCTCCTTTTTTTGATCCAGGTCTCCAACAATGGCTGGGGGTTTGTTTGCCGTCAACAAGAAGTACTTCCTTTACCTGGGCACATATGACACAGGAATGGAAGTCTGGGGTGGAGAGAACCTGGAGTTTTCATTTAGAGTAAGTTTGTTTTGTTACTTCAACTGTACGATTTTCCCTATCATTTTACTCCAAGTTTTGGTTTTCTGAGGATTGAAAGCCGTTGGGCAGATGGTCACCAGCCTTGTCTGAAATCTGTTTGATGAGTCACACAGGGTTAGGAGGACGGTCAGCGCCTTTATTAAGTGTCTGCCAGCTAGCCTGATGACTAAAGCGACCTTCGATGTTTATGCAGCATTTACTTACTCATAATTCCTTTGATTACTCAGCTCATCCCCTCAAGGACCCCAACGCTGTTACACAGCCTGCAATGGTTCACTTGTGTTTTGGGTGCATTGAGCGCCAGGAGGTGCGTTTTAACCAGATTTCAACAAGAGACGTCACAAACACCAGACAGCAGCTCTGGCGATGCAACATGACAGCATGTTTGTTCCTTGAATCAGTAGCTCAGTTCCAAAAACCACTGATTTGACTGCACAGGCAACATTTTACCAACCTTAAAAGTATTAGGATAAAAGATAAAATCGAGAGAGCTGCATAATGAGATTGCATTCTAGTTACTAACTCTAGCACTTACCCTATAATAATGAAATGTCCTTATTGCTGCACTGCCTCTTCTGCTGTGACATTTTTAACGGGTCATCTCATCCAATGAGAGGAGTGTTCACACCTCCTCTGCTGACCATGATATAGACATTTTTAAGGTTGCCTATAAAGAAAGTCTGGGTATACCCAAGCATAGTCGAATAATAAAAGATCAGTATGCGTAAATGGCATACAGTAGCTACGTTTCCATTAACCTATTTTTATGCCCTTTTTATATGTGCATAAAGAAATAGCTGATGGAAACGCCAAGATGTGCATCAATTTTGAAAATGCGCATAAAAACTTATGTGCATAACTGAGTAGGATAAACTTTTTATTCGATAACAAAAGATGCGCATAAACTATGATAGAAACATTTTACTGTACAAAATTCAGTATGCGCATTAAAAAAAGGTCATGTGATTTTTTTTATAAGTGATCATGTGATGATAAATGTGTGTGAATGGACAAACAAAACAAGCGGAGCACACTGTAAACCATCTGAAATGTTGTTTTGGTCATTCTAAAACACAGTAACTGTTACTGGTGACTCGAACAAGCATGGTTGGTTCAAGCAGCAGCTCCTGCTCTAGCGATGAAGAAATGATTAGTGTTCACAAGAGCAATAAGCAGCTCCACATTCATATCGCCTCTGGGCATCTTCTTCAATGTGCGCTCGCAAAGGTGCCGATCTGATTAGTGGAGAAGGTTTTGACGCCGCGCGTCAAAACAAAAAAACGAGCATGAGGTGTTTTTTTTTAAAATGACGCTTTTGAGTCGGGCGTTTAGCGCACAACCACATTGACGCCCTTTATTTAGTTACGAGGCGTTAAAGTTTGCCGGAAAACGCGAGCAAAAAACGTCTCGGTGTACACGGGCCTTTAGTGTTATTATATTATTAATGACCTTCAGAATCAAGAGCGTCTGTCCTCCGCATCTCATGCCTTCAAACGTCACCGCGCCTTCACTGCGTGTCAGGATTGCCTTCTGAGGCGCAAGTCATTTATTAAATAAAGAAAAGATTCATGCAGCTTCTCCTACAGCAGCAAATTCCGTTTTTACTGTTGATTTTTGGTGCCAGTTAATCAGGAAATGTTGATTTTGCTTGCCTAGAATTTTTGGATGGAAACGTTGCTTTATTCACGTTTTTTTATGAGATATTCCTGTTTTGTGCATAAAGTTAATTCGCATTTCTGGATGGAAACATAGCTAGTGAGCCTCAGACACCATTGTTTCCTTGTTTTTAATTAAAATCCATAAGTGTAAAACCTCACTGGACAAAAGGCCAATCAGAACACAAAACAGACTGTTGCGTGGGCTTTTTGACAAATTAAGCATTATTATATTAACTTTGTTCAGCATACATCATGCTGTGTGTGCGAGTGTCTGTTACAGCTGCACATCAGAGCGGAATTTATTAATAATCATGACCAATCCAAATATGCTCAGTATGGACCTTCTGATTCTAGGGGTATTTTATGGAGTAATAAATGAGCATATAAAACCATTTCAAAATAATTTTTTTAACTTAACCAATAGGGCTGTGCGATTTGAAACGTATATAAAATATATATGTATTATATAATTTTCCCCACCCAGAGCAAATGTGTGACTGCCGTCTGTGTGTGACAGTCTTACTAGCCAATTGAGTGAGCACACTTTCATTCTGCCCAATCAGGATTGCGCAACCGATTTATGCCGAAAGCTCACAATAAAACAAACAAACAAACAAACAGGAAAGTGCGGAGAAATGGGATGATGCTGTCTGCTGCTTCAGAAGAATTAATAGGTGAATTTATATCAAAGAAAGACAGCATGTCAGTAATATTGGAATATTTTGTTTTCATAGTCACAGACATCGAACAAAAACAGGTCATTTGTTAGAGCTGTCGCAAAATTTTTGCCACAGCACAAGGAAATACAACAACCAGCACCTAAAAAGCACCACAGGTGGCTAAATGGTGAGCGTCTTGATAGAAAAGTCAACTAAAAGTATAACCAGTGACACTCAATCTAGTAGCTAGCAACAGCATAGTACAATTTTAGAGTTTTTGCAGCTGTTACACCATAAAAAACATCACAAAGGCAAAATAATTTCTAAATATTTATAAACAAATTTGAATAAAAATTGGAGTTAATTATCTTTTCAGTTCCCTTTTTTAACTAACAACACTCACTGCATTTTAGCAGTAAGAAGCTACTATACAGAATATTGAGCTAAAGCTTGACTGCAAAATTAAATCCAAATCGCAATAGCTGTTAAAAACATTTGCAATTAGATATTTTCCCCAAATCGCACAGCCCTATTACCTAATCCATATACTATGACTTACTATTTATGTCAGAGAACAATTTAGCTTATTGAAACAATGCAGTATGTGGCACCCTGAAGTTGTGTGTGACAGTTGTTTAAAATGAGCCAATGGTGGCTGCTGGTGATTATTTCATCTAACAGGTTTGGCATTTTTTGTTGCAAATCCAGTCATGCAGGTAATCACAATTCTTTCATGACTATCAGTATCTGTAGTGTTTACACATCTCATTTTTGTATCAATATGGTTTATTTTGAATCTCAAGTGAGGCGATGCATAAAAAGAAAAAAAAGGCATTTAGTAACAAAAGTGGTGCCAAGTCATGTAGTGGACGAAGCCTTTTTTGTCAGAAAATCTAAAATGTTTTAATTTATGAAATCATTTGAACAAGTCAAATAATACATATTTACACAATGACCAAATTCAAGAAAATTTTGGTTTCGCTTTCAAAATAACTGTTTATGATGTTTAATAGTTTTACCCATTGAAATATAATAAGTTTTAGTTTTTTCTCTTGTCATTGATGTAGGCATGTTAGGATAATATGTCTATATAGTTTTAGAGCTATATTGTTATTTTGTATCATTTGTTTAGTTTTACAGATGGATCTTAATACAGAAAGATTTAATTGAATTAATAGCAACTAGCTCTCTGCATCTCTCACATGGTCACCTTGAAGTTAAGCAGGGCTGAGCCTGGTCAGTACCTGGATGGGAGACCACATGGGAAAGCTAGATTGCTGTCAGAAGTGATGTTAGTGAAGCCAGCAGGGGGCTCAACCTGCAATCTGTGTGGGTCCTAATGTCCCAGTATAGTGAAGGGGACTCTATACTGCTCAGTAAGCACTGTCTTTCGGATGAAACATCAAACCGAGGTGCAGACTATCTGTGGTCGTTAAAAATCCCAGGATGTCCTTTAGAAAAGAATAGGGGTTTAACGTGGATGCTGCACACTGGTGGTGGATGAGGAGATTCCTTTCAATGTGTAAAGTGCTTTGAGTGTCCAGAAAAGTGCTGTATAAATGTAAGGAATTATTGTTATTATTATTATTATCATTATTAAAAATGGAAAATGTTTAATCATGTATATAAATCTAATATTAATAGTTAGTTAAAAGTTTAAATCATACCTTGACTATTTTTTCCCAAATAATAGTTTATTAATAATTAGCTTTGTCTTCTGTATAATGTCAATAAAAAGCCAAATTATTTATATCTTATTGTCTTTATTATATCATAGAAATATGTTATAGTATGAATGTGACTGTACAATAACATACACCCATATACTTTTTATAGGTCAATACACCTGGCATTAAATTGTGTTTTTGTCACTTTATCACAAATGGATGATGCTAAATATAGGTGTAAAAACATTCTGAGCTTGTCCACGTTTGACCATTTTCAGAAATAGCTGAAAACATTTGATTGGTTTGCTTTCTTTTACCTGATTATTTTAAAGTCATTAGATAAATAAATGATTAAAAAATAACTAAATAGCATTTTTTTAGGGAAATGTTTATCATAAGAAATATCAATACTCAAAAACAATAATGCATGTCACCTATTTTGTCCAGCATCATGCAGCTTTGTTTATTTTGGATAAAATGTTGGCTGCAGATCACAAACACTTCATCTATTTCCTGTCTTGGTGTCTTTTATTCAGATCTGGCAGTGTGGAGGAAGCCTGGAAATCCATCCTTGCTCTCACGTGGGTCACGTCTTTCCGAAGAAAGCTCCATACTCAAGAAACAAGGCCTTGGCCAACAGTGTGCGAGCAGCAGAAGTCTGGATGGATGATTTCAAAGAGGTGTATTACCACCGCAGCCCTCATGCACGTCTGGTACGCCTACTTGTGTTGTCTGTTGCAAAACTCTGCTTTTGTCTGTTTATTATAATACCATTTATCTTTGCGATGTTTGAGATTAATGTAAATCAAGCAGTCTGTGGACGATACTCTTTATGATCTGACTGTGTGAACATGCTTTAACAAATCAACCCTATAAAAGGTTCGTCTTTTTTTTCTGATTGTAATGATTCCATTTTCAGGAGTCATTAAAATAAGATTATGTGTAGGCAAAATTCTAATTCTAAAATGCCAATGCTACCCCTTAGCCCTTCCTCTTAACCCTACCCCTTGTTTTGCGCATTCACGTGAAGGGGTAGGGGTGTCCCAATTCTCTTTAGCTTCAAGGCGTAGGGCTAAGGGGAAGGGCTAGATACCCCTTGAAACAGATTTTTTTTAGGACAGCACTCGAAACCAAGGGGTAAGAAAATTTCCCAGAATAGGTTTGTGTTTTACCGTCATGATTTAAAAAAAAACAATGCTAAAATAAATACTGCTAAATTTCGCTATCTATAATCTCTAATAATGACTCCTATATAGTAACGTTAGTCCCACAACAAACTGTCACTCGATGACACTAGAATACCCTGTCAGAAAATTTTAGCGGCTGTTAATGAACTTTTTACAGTGTCTGCTATAATGTTAAAGTTATTTTCCTGTGTTTACATAGATGCCCTCAGGGGTTTCCTCAAAGCATTCGTTGATCTCATATTAAGCAAGAATCAAACTGCGTCATATTAAGCACTGCAGGTGTTGTAGTGCTGTCCCATTTCTTAGGGGTAAAATTTGAAGCCCTTCTCCTTCACACTCTGTTTCAAGGGCCAAGGGGAAGGGGTACAAATATAGACTTGGGATTGGGCCTTAGATAATGCTAAATAGGACATTGCAGAATATAACATCTATTTTTTTATATCACATAAGGATCCACTGCTTTGTTTCTTATTCTAGAGTCCAGTATCTTGATTATAACATTTGTAATGGTTCTGTTCTGGTTCTCATGCAATATTATCTAACTCGGCAGATTTATTAATTTACTCTTAAAATCTCTCACCAATCAATCAGTTTTAGAATGAATCAGCATTTGTAGGATTTTGTCTTTCAGCAAAGTATTTAAATGAGTTATTAAACATGATTTACTATAGTTTGTGCTAGGCAGTTTACAAGTACTAAACTGTATTCAATACGTATATGTATTTAATAACTTATTTCTTTTATCTTTGCCATGATGATAGTACATATTTTTTGCAAGGCAATAGTATTTAGATTAAAATGCAGTATAAAGGCCTAACTTTGGTAATTAGGGTAGCTACAGTAGGTAAAGTACTGTAGGTCAAATAGTCAAGTCATTGGACAATAGTAGTTTGTTTTGTAGCCAGTCGAAAAAAATACATTGTTAACAGAGCTAATAATACTGACCTTAGAAGTCTAGCATTCAAGACTAATAAAACAAGAAAAATTCCATTCATGTTTATTTCTATAGCGCTTTTACAGTGTAGATTGTGTCAAAGCGGGCTAACATTAAAGTTTTAGTAAATTTAAAAGTTTTCAGAGTTCAGTTCAGTACAGTGTGGTTTAATTTTCACTGCTGAAAGTCAAAATACTAAAGAGCAAATCCATCGATGTGCAGCTAAATGAGTCCCAAACCTAGAAGCCAGTGGCGACAGTGGCAAGAAACAAAACTTTACCAATTGACTAAAGTAAAGCAAAAAAAAAAAAACCTCAAAAGAAACCAGGCACAGTTGGCTTATTTCTCCTCTGGCCAAACTTTCTTTGTGGAACTCCAGTTTAACATGATTCTATCAAAACTAAAACAAATACATTTCAAATAACAAAAGAATTTCTACAGAAGAAAAATATAAAAGGAAACACTGCAAAAACACTCGCTGTGTCTCATTTCAGAGGCTGCATCCTCCGAAGGATGCATTTTAAGTGCACTGCGTCATCGCAGGTTTAAATGTATGAATTAGGTTTTATTTTACTTGGATATCTAAACACATGTTAAAAAAAACAAAAAGAGTATGACATGTTAAAGAGTGATTTTATAGACAGTTTACATGTTTATGTGTACATGTATGGATCAAAGGAAATATATTTTCAGCTTCTGTATACCTTGTTTTGCCTTCAGATCACCTAAAATAGGTTTTAAATTCACTTTGAAAAAAGTCTTTACAAATTTTATAACCGCCTATTAACAGCAGCTGTTGCGGGTAGCCTGGTGACGAGATCCGTCCTCTGCAGGCTAGATCGTCTCATTTCAAAACGCTCGGTTCAGCTTGTGTGGACTTTGTAGGACTCACCTTTGAAGTCTGCATACTTTGGAGGATGCAGCCTCTGAAATGAGACACAGCTACTGTCCTTGGTAACAACTGTGTATGTGTTATTGTTTAAAGTTGAGATAAGGGTAATAAAAAAAAATCTTTATTTATAAAAAAGCAGTAGTGCTAGGTGGCGTATATCTTTCTGTATGGAGTAGAAATTAGACTAGCGAGTACTAATAATAGAGAATCCAGTGTTGACAAAATGAAGGCAGATTGAACAAGGGTTGTTTTTCCCTAATTATATTAATCAGCAATTACTTATGTGGCAGCCAATATATTGTTCATTCATAAATTAAATCTCAAGATAAATGATGTGCTTGTTTAAATTTAATCCTGTACTGTTTTTAAATTGGTTACTCCCAAACTAGGTAGCCCAGGAAGCTGGCATGGCATTAAAACGCCAACTAACCAACCAATCAGCATTTTTTGCACATATCCACACCCACCTTCACACAATCTGTTGATATGCCCTGAATGAGTGACATTTAGCGGGTGGGCTGAAACACCTCAGGTGACATTCTGTGTGCTCGGTGTGAAATTACTCCAGAGAAGTGGCAGCTCTCGACGTCCCTGTTTGTCATTCACAATCCCCACCGAGCCCTGTAGTTAAAGAGAGAGGTGCTCTCTGTGACAGATCAGGTAACCCTTTTCTCTCTGAACCTCAGAGATGCTGCCAGATTGGCACCACCAACTAGAAATCCATCACACAACATCGCACAACCGAGTCCTAAAGATCAACAAAATTAGGCTGTGTGATGGATTTCGGTGATCAGAAAGCTTAATTTGACAGCCGCTTGATTGACCGCGTTGCTGGACGGCGTGTATCCGCCTCAGGACTGAAGTCTGATCACAGACAGATCGTCAATGGGTGTGATGTTGTGCCACCCGGCTGGCGCTCACAGCGGGGCCGTGTGTTATTGATGATTCGCTATCAGGTTTGATAATTAGAAGCAGAGTTTCTGTCATTTGTCTGCTGAACTTCTTCGACGGAGCTCTAACTCCAGCAGATGTTTCTCATGAAGCTTCATATCTCTGGCTCCGCTGTTCAGACCATCGTTCATCAGTCATTCTTGCCTGACAGGCGGTTATGCGGCCACAAACAAACACTGGAACTTGGCCTTTATCAGTCTTGTTTGCTGAGGTGGGGCGGTGACATTATTTTGTAGAAGAACACAAAAGGAAACCGCAGTAGGGGAATTGCGTCAGATGGCTTAAAAACAAGATGACGCAGTTTGATGAGAGGTTTAGTTTTATGTGATGCTTTTGGGAAAACGGTTGATGTTGAATGAAGAGAGTGCTGTAAACAGTTTTCTCAAATTGTATTTAGTAAAGCAAGCTCATACTTGATGGATTGCTTTAGAGCTGTACACACTGGAGACAAATATTTGTACAGTCAAATATTTTATGTAGATTTTTTTCTTTACAAAGCTTAGTCCAAACTGTCTTTGTTTGACAAAAAAACAATAACCAATGGCATACAGGTTTCCCATGGGTCATGGAGTTTCTGGAATAGCGTGACATTTTATAAGGTCTATTTCATACGTTTTTTTTTTTGTGCAAGTCATGAAATATCAGAGAATTTGTTTGTCATTTGAAATGTTACTTCCCATTTATCAAAATGTTTACTTTTCTATACAGTGTTTTGTTTTTTTTAAATCAGTCTTTTATGTGTTTTGTCTATTGTTATGGATAGGCTATTTCTTCATGGATATTTTAAGCCTTTCCCACTTATCAACCAGCAAACAGTGCCATTCATTCATTCATTCATTTTCTTTTCGGCTTAGTCCCTTTATTAATCAGGGCTTGCCACAGCAGAATGAACCGCCAACTTATTCAGCTTATGTTTTACGCAGCTGATGCCCTTCCAGGTGCAACCCATCACTGGGAAACATCCATAAACAATCATTCACACACTACGGACAGTTTAGCTTATCCAATTCACCTATAAAACATGTTTTTGGATATGTGGTGGAAACCGGAGCACGATATGATTTTGTTAAAAAAGATCATGTGATGATAAATGTGTGTGAATGGATAAACCAGCAGGCTGACCACATTGTAAAACATCTGAAATGTTGTTTTGGTCAATCTAAAATGCCTTAACCGTTTCAGTATTAGTGTTTTTATATTATTATTTAACTCCAGAACTTTTAAGAGCGTCCATGCTCCACATCTCACGCCTTCAAACTCCACCACGTGTTCATTACGTGTTGTCATTTGTCTTTTGAGGTGCAGTAATTTATCAAATAAGGAACTGATTCATACAGCTTTTCCTACCACAGCAAATCTAGTTTTTATTTTTGATACTTGGCACCAGTAAATCAGGAAGTTATGATTTTGTTCTCTTTGAGTTGTTGGATCACATCTTTTATGTGATATCTTTTATGTTATATCTTTGGATGGAAACAAAGCTAGTCAGAGAAAGAAAGTGTTTACCTCTTAACTGTAAAACATGCTACATCATATTTGACTCATCAATGAATGAAATTATCAAAGTAAACTAAACTGTTCAAATCTCTTCAACAATAATATTAGAAAAAACATGCAACACTTTCAAATTGACACAAAGAACGTAGCCTTGTTCTGGCTGAATGTGCATTGCAATAATTTTGCATAATGCATATAATACTGGTCACACACTTGTTGATTGCCAAGTTATGACAATTTGAGGTAGGAGACACCAGGTGTGCTCTTTCTGTATGCTAATATAATGTTATTTGATATACAACAACGCATATGTTTGCAGAAGGAATTTGAACAATGTCATGGCTGGTCAAAATGTGCATAAGATTAGCAACAAATTTAAAAATACGCAAGCTCCTTTTGAGCCATTTGCTTGATTTTGCATTAAATTGATCAATTCCAAAATCAATCAGCTCAACACAACAACTGCCTGTTTTCCCCTTAAGTAATGCATTTTCAGCTTTTAGTCACTAAAAGTCAGGTAATTTGACATATAAAGGCTTAAAATGAACCCTGGGCATATGAGTTTTCCTGTCTCACTCGTTAAGATGTCAGGTATTCATTTTGATTAAAAACGCAAAAATATCACACGATTAAAATAGTAGCAGTTGAAAAACCTTTTGTCCTACAGGTAAAACCTCATCCTCTGTTAAAGGTTTGCTTAAAAAATGCAATGTTTGCATATATGATAAGGTATAAAAACATTATATCTTGACCAATGCTAATGAAGTAACCATACAGTTTTAAAAAACAAACAAACTGCATGCACAAAAATTTCTCCAGTAAAACCAATCATTTAATGCTTGTCTGCAGGAAGCGTATGGGGATGTGACGGATAGACGGAAACTCAGAATGCGTCTTCGCTGCAAAGATTTTAGATGGTTCTTGGATAACATCTACCCTGATATTCAAGTCCCCGAAGACAAGCCTGGAATGTTTGGCATGGTAAGAAGAGACAACTTATATTTACATGCACAGCCACAGATATGTAACAGCACAGATTCAGAAGCAGAAATATTATAATGTAGAGAACTTAGCGCTTGTGTCCACCAAAGAGCTTCCAAGCTGAGTGTTTTTTTTTCTTTCTTTTTGTTGTTTTAAAAGTACAACTCTGGGTCCATTTAATTAAAATGCCAGCAGCGTAGCGAGGATCTGAGCATGTGGTGCGTGCTTTTACTCGTTTCTTAAAAGCCCCGACAGTAGGAGAAGCACTCACAGCTGATTGTTTCTGGAACAAGGTTGGTGTTTTCAGCACTTCGGGTGGACACGAGCCCTCAGCTGATAAGATTGTTTCAAAGTTTACACCCAAAGCACTTTCTTTGTAGTCAACTTAGCCACACTGGAGCTGAAGGTACATTGAAAACGAAGGTCAATTTAAGACTTTAGAAATATGCAGAAGACAGTTACTGATTAATTTATTATACAAAAATATTTTCCAACTATATATATATATATATTAGGGGTGTAACGGATCACGGTCGATCCATGATTCGTACGGATCACAACCCACGGTTCAGAACACATGTGACCCATGGATTAATACATTTTTTGACTGGTAGATTCATTCAAAATTTGTAACGATGACAGAGAGATCCCCTCTCGTGTCATTCAAATCAGATGTATGAAAGCATTTAGGCTTTCCTGTATAATATAATGATGACAGAAGAAGTTGTGTTAGGTTATTCAGGATGTGGTGAAATGTGGTAAAGGTGTTTTCTGTCACTACTTGTTTAGCCTGCTTTACTGCATTCAGTGTAAGCTGCATGATTAATCATTAAAAGATCAGGATCTCAACACCCACGCAACATAAATCATAAATGATGGTTATTTGCATATGTTTATTAATCCTTTAAATCGCTGCATTCAAATGTGAAAATGCAAAAATCAAGAAAGAAATTCAGTCGTTAGGCTTTTGAGATAGTTATGAAGTTACAAAAAGTCAAATAACACAGAAGTACTGGGATAACAGTTTATAGTTTAGATAAAACCACTGATGTTTATAGTAAAGTTTTAAATCACCATCATGTGCATTTAACAACGCTCAAAAATTAAAGTTGTAGGCAGCGGTTACTTTATTTAACCAGCCATCAAAAATATGCTACTGAATAATTCTTTAAAAATGATCATCTAGTAAAGTTTTATGAGTGAATAACTGAATCATTTACTGAAATTGAGACTAAAAAAATATGGATTGTACAAACGATAATTTTTTGATTTCTACAGCGTTATGAGCAACAGTAGTAGTAACAATGAATTTTTCACAGAACTGAATATTTTACTATTTATTTTTATTCAGCTGATTAATTCCATATTTTATTTTAAATAAAGTTACAGGTTCTAAGGTGTTTGTTAAAACAAAAGTGTCTTGCAGTGCTTTTTTTGTAATAAATGGAAAGCAAATTACATTTGTCTCCTCCCCTTTTTGGCTGATCTGAAAAAGGGTCCAATTCGTGATTAAAAACCATAACATGATCTGAACCGTGAGAAGGTGACAGTGATTTGAACTTTGTATTGGTCTCCATTTCTTTTTAATTCACATTACAAAAGTATCTTCCAACTTTGCTTCCTGAACACTATAATATAAAAATAAATTTGACAGTAGCCTATAATCAAAACGTAACATGTGATGGGTTTTTTTTCAGATGTTTGTCTTTACTTTAAATAGGACAAGAAAATACTGACAAAAAAATGATATTAAATTTGTAGCACGTTAACCTGAATTCCATTACTTTCTGCTCTTATTTAAGACTTTTAAAGATTAAGACTTGAATTAATTATAAATAATCTACAGAAATCCTACAAAATCTGAACAATCAATTCTCAAAAGAAATTCTCAAAAAAATTCTCAAAAGAAATTCTCAAAAAAATTCTCAAAAAAAATTGCCTATGGGAATATAAATGTATAATAATATATAAACACTGTTGTATATTTATTTGTCTGTTCTCAATTGTAGTTGAAGAACAAAGGAATGACCAACTACTGCTTCGACTACAACCCGCCTGATGAACATAAGATAGCCGGTCACCGGGTAATCCTTTACCCATGTCATGGCATGGGACAAAACCAGGTAACTTTGATTCTCTCAACCCTAACAAAAGATGCATGCTTCTGATTAGCATTAATGCACCACAATATACAGAGACTGTGATGCGTCCTCAGGAATATACATCAAAGTGTGTCTCACAGCTGTAATGTATTATTAAGACAGCAGTAAATAGAGTGTTGTGTACTCTAGAGCACACTTGTTTTTAAGATGACTCCAGCCGCCTGGCACAGCGGCATGACTTCATTCGTCTCCTTCTCTCTGTGGGGAGGCAGGGGAGCCCTGGAGACTTATCAGTGAACAATATCAGCCATATGTACAGCACAACAACACTCTCCTAATGGATTCTCTTTGAGGAGACAAGAGAAATGTTTCTGTCTCTCTTCTGTTTCTGTGTGCTTTGTTACATATGGGTCAGTCTTGTTGCACAGTTAATTTTCAGAAATATCTTCTGATTAAAATGAGACAACTTTATTTAATAATTTATTATTATTATTATTATTTAATAAAGTAAATAATAATAATAAAAATATAGCCACACCTAAGTATAATATAGCCACATAATAATATAGCCACACCTAACAACACAACAACATCTTTACAGTCACCCAGAGTACTCTAGCAACCACTGAGAATACCATAGCAACTACATAACACTCCACCAACTATACCATAGCAACTGCATAGCAACACCCTAGCAACTATCCAGAACAACCTAAAAACCACCCAGTGTCATATTAACACCCTAGCAGCAACCTAGAAGCAACAACAAACATTGCTGTAGAAAATACATTGCAGCAACCTAGCAACAACACAACTTTACAGTAACTCAGAGTACTCTAGCAACAACTGAGAATACCATAGCAACTGCATACCAATACTCTAACAACTATCCAGATCCACATAGCAGCCACCTAGAGTGCCCTCGTAACACCCTAGTTGCAACACAAACATTGCTCTAGAAAATTCATAGCAACACCACAAAATCATCTTTACAGTCACCCAGAGTACTGTAACAACCACTGATAATACTATAACATCTACATAGCAAGACTTTAGCAACTATCCTGATCAACCTAGCAACCGCCCAGAGTGCCCTAGTAGCACCATAGTAGCAACCACAAACATTGCTGTAGAAAATTATTAGCCACACCCTAGCAACAACAGTACATAATTTTTACAGTCATCTAGAGTACTCTAGCAACCACAGAGAATACCATAGCAACACTCTAGCAACTATCCAGAACAACCTTGCAACCACCCAGAGTGTCATATTAACACCATAGTAGCAACCACAAACATTGCTGTAGAAAATTCATAGCAACACCTTAGCAACAACACCACATTATCTTTACAGTCACCCAGAGTACTCTAGCAACCACTAAGAATACTATAACAACTGCATAGCAACACTCTAGCAACTATCCAGAACAACCTAGCAACTGCCCAAAGTGTCATATTAACACCCTAGTAGCACCACAAAGATTGGTGTAGAAAATCCATGGCAACACCTTAGCAACAACACAACATCATCTTTACTGTAACCCAGAGTACTCTAGCAACCTCTGAGAGAATCATAGCACCTACATTGCAACACTTTAGCAACTATCCAGAACAACCCAGCAGCCACCCAGAGTCCCCTAGTAAAAATTCATAGCAACACCCTAGCAACAACATAACATAATCTCTACAGTCACCCAGAGTACTCTAGCAACAACATAGAATACCTTAGCAACTACATAGCAAGACTATCATAGCAGCTATTGAGAACAACCTAGCAACCACCCAGTGTGCCCTATTAACAACCTAGTAGCAACCACAAACAATACTGTAAAAAATTCATATTCACACCCTAGCAACAACACAGAAGCATCCTTACAGTCACCCAGAATACTCTAGCAACCACTGAGAATACCATAGCAACACACTAGCAACTATCTAAAACAACCCAGCAACCACCCAGAGTGCCCTAGTAACACTAGTAGCAACCACAAACATTGCTGCATAAAAATCCTAGCAACACCCTAGCAACAACACAACAGCACTCTAGCAACAACACAACAGCATCTTTATAGTAACCCAGAGTACTCTAGCAACCACTGAGAATACCATAGCAACTGCATAGCAACACTCAAGCAACTATCCAGAACAACCTAACAACTGCCCAGAGAGTCCTAGTAACACCCTAGTAGCAACCACAAACATTGCTGTAGAAAATTCCTAGCCACACCCTAGAAACAACAGTCTCCCAGATTACTCTAGCAACCACTGAGAATACCATAGCAACTACACAGTCAACACTCCAGCAACTATCCAGAACACCCTAGCAACCACTCAGAGTGCCTTATTAACACCCTATTAGCAACCACAAACATTCCTTTAGAAAATTCATAGTCACACCCAACACAACAGCATATTTACAGTCACCCAGAGTACTATACTAGCAATTGTCTAAAACAACCTAGCAACTGCCCAGTGTGCCCTAGTAACACCCCTAGAGCAACCACAAACATAGCGGTAGAAAATTCCTCGCAACACGCTAGCAATAACACAACATCATCTTTACAGTAACCCAGAGTACTCTAGCAACCACTGAGAATACCATAGCAACACACTAGCAACTATCTAGACCACCTAGCATCCGCCCAGAGTGCCCTAGTAACACCCGATTAGCAACCACAAACATTTCTGTAGAAAATTCTAAGCCGGACCTTAGCAACAACACAACATTATCTTTACAGTCACCCAGAGTACTGTAACAACCACTGAGAATACCATAGCAACACTCTAGCAACTATCCAGAACAACCTAGCAACCACCAAGAGTGCCCTACTAACACCCAAGCAGCAACCATAAACACTGCTGTGGAAAATTCCTAGTAACACGCTAGCACCAACACAACAACAGTTGATTTGTGAATGAGCCCCAAAATGTATGTACCCATCAACCTACACAAGTACCCTAACAACTGCATCAACACTATAGCAACCACCAAGAATACTCTAGCAACTGCATGGTAACACTCTAGCAACCCCCATTCGTAGCAACACTCTAGCAACCTTCTGGAATTGTGTCTATCTTCTTTTCTCTTCTGGTGACAGTTCTTCGAGTACTCCACACTCCAGGAAATCCGCTACAACACGAGGGATCCTGCAGGCTGTGTCGTAGCTGATCCCGTCTCCACATTCCTCACCATGAATCTTTGTAGTAAACCCAGAGAAGCTGTGCCCGAAGACCAGAAGTTTCTTTTCAGAGAGGTGAGATCACTACAACATGCATGAATACAAAGGGTAGAGTGTTGATCTCAGTTGTAAGAGCAACAAATAATAATTTGACTTCTAGCTGATCATTTGGAAAAGTGGCAGAAGGTAGATTTTTCTGATGAATCATCTGTTGCATCCCAATCATCACAAAAACTGCAGAAGACCCATTGAAACCCACATGGACCCAAGATTCTCACAGAAATCAGTCAAGTTTGGTGAAGGAAAAATCATGGTTTGGGGTTACATTCAGTATGGGGGTGTGCGAGAGATCTTTACAAGAGCATCCTTGCCAAGATTAGTCAGTACACAAGTCACATGAGTCCAACAGACAACAAACAAAAACAATTTACAGTTAACATGAATCACATTGACAAACTATTCAAAACATCTACAAACCTGTTTCAACTTCTAAATCTTTTATAGTCTTTTTAAAAGCATGTAGTGAAATCAATTCTTTGAACTGCAACTAAGTTTGCAGATTATTCCAAGCAAAAGGTGCTGCGTACTTTTCCCCTTTTCCCAAAAGCCTTTTTTCCCCATCTCAGTCCGCATTTTAGGAAAAAACAGTAAATAAATATCCTGTGACTGAAGACCATAGTTAAGAACAGACTTTTTACAAATGTAATTCTGTAAATTTGATGGGAGTAAACCCAGTATAGATTTGTAAGCAAGGATATGCCAATGCTTGAGCCTACGAATGGACAAAGCAGATCAACCTACCCTAGTATACAGCACACAATTATGAGTTAGGGATTTAAAATTAGTTATAATTCTTAGTGCACCATGGTAAACAGTATCCAATACATTCAGACTTTGAGGCGAAGCATGCATATAGATAACATCACCATAGTCCAATGCAGACATGAATGTTGCCTCAACCAGCTTCTTTTTAGCATCAAAAGAAAGGCAGTTCTTAATTCTAAAATAGAAGCCTAAAATCACTTTTAATTTTTGAAATGGCTTCTATTTCTTGAAGCTGAACAACAGGATAAACTGACAATGATCACCTCAGGTGCACCTCATGTGCTTTATTCAGTGTTAAATGTTAACAATGTGAGTTTGAATGCCCTTTTACATGACATTTATTGCCATACTACTGAAATCAGCAGGAGATCACCTCAGATCTTGAAAATAAAATAAATCGTTTGAAGTAGAACTTTAGAGTGCAAGCCAACACATATCAGTGATCCATATACATTTATTAATGCTAAAGAGGTTTAATATTTATTAATTATAAACCTTACCATTTTGTTGCAATGTAGTGAGTGCACTATTCTGTGCTTCTGAATGGCTGTATTTAAATTATTTCCTGGTGCAAACAGCCAAATTGCTTATCACTAAAAATCTCAGTAGCGTGTTATTAAGACCCAGGGATACAATGTAACCTGCTCACCTAATGTTTACGTTCACAATATTTATATGATTTGCTAATTAATAACCACCTCATGTGGAACTCTCATATCGAAGTCTGCTACTTTCCACCAGAGATCGCACCTTTAAGTTTATGTGTTGTCTTCGAAGTCTGCTATGGTTGGCATAATCTCTTTTCATATCACTAATTCAATAGTCGATTATTCAGGATGTTTAGAGAAGGATCACCTGATGCTGAAAATTAGAAATAATGATGATGAAAATTGCAGCCTGACATTAAAAGACAAAATGTATTCATTTAAATTAAATAATGGCTCAATATTACCAGATTTGATCAATAATTGTACACACAAACATGCATCTGACATGCATGCTTTGCTACACTTCAAGTGTTCTTGGAAGCGTACGATGGGTGTCACATTAAAGTGCTACTTGAGAAAGTCACGGACAGCATGTCAAGAGGTTTTGGTGTGGCTTGAGTGTAATTTCAGAAGTGAGCCTCAGTGTGAACTCTTTGCTGGTACAGTGAGCATCTGAAGAGCAGCGTGACGACAGTGGGATTCACTTGAAACTCTGGGGAATCAGAGCAGGATGAGGTGATAGGGCAGAAACCTTTGTAATATTTAAACAAATACAAAATCTGGATGAAAATCCTGGATGAAAGGAATAGTTCAACCAAATATGAAAGTTACTGTTAAATTTGACTGCAAAAAATGCTTTTTTTTTTTTTTACTTAGATTTTTTTTGTCTTGTTTTTAGTCAAAATGTCTAAACATTTTGAAATCGAAAAGCATTTTTTGACAAGCGATAAAATTCTGTTCTGTTTTATGAAATCATATGCTAAAGTTAAGCGAATTTTTTTCTTAAAACAAGCAAAATAATCTGCCAGTAGGGTAAGCAAAATGATCTTGTTTTTCCTTTTGATGTAAGATTATTTTGCTTATCCCATTCACAGATTATTTTGCTTGTTTCAAGTTAAAACTCACTTAATTTTGGCATATTATTTCTTTAAACAAGACAATATGTTTTACTTGTCTAGAAAATGCTTCTTGATTTAAGAATTTTTATATATTTGGACTAGAAACAAGACAAAAATGCTAAGCAAAAAAGCATTTTTAAACAAATTTTATTATAGTTTTTGCAGACATAAAAACAAATAACTGACAGCCAAACCATCATGTAACAATAATCTGTACAAAATGTAAAATAAAGAATGAAACAAGGGAAAATGGCAACATATATGACCTACAAAAAGACACAGCAATGGATGTAAGGAGAGAGAGAAAAAAAAACCTTCTCAAATCTTCAGAAATGAAACATTATTAGCCTTTATGGTGTGTTCGAAAAAATAGACTGGATCCCACATCTTATGAAATTTGGCACGCTGAGTTCTCAGTGGTGGTATATTTGAATTTTTCCAAATGTAAAGTGGAGTCCAAGAAGCAAGTCAGAAAAAAAGAGGCCAAACATTTTTCTTCCAGAAATAAAGGATAAATCTCTTAGCTATGATCATACCATAGTGAAGAGGTAATCATACATTTCAGTTGAGAGCCTCCAGAAAATCTGACCAACCAAAAGTTGCTTGTGTCAGGTTGTAAAACAATTGTAAAACTTAGCAAACTGAAATATTTCTGACCAATTTGAATTTGAACACAGAACCAAAAAAGATTTGATACTTGTCACATGAGGGGAAAACAGAGGGATAGAATTGACCAAACTTTGTTTTAGAATAGTGAAGTTTGTATAGTAAAGCATTTCTACAGCGTTCTCACCATCAGATCATTTGAAAATATTTTCATGAGGAAAAACGTTATAAAAGATTTGAAGCTGAAATCGTGCTTCTTCCTGATTTAAAAAACTATGTAGTGGTCACTAGCTTGTCATACGTGCATGTGATTAATGGACTAAATTTATGTTGTTATGGATTGTTGAGGTTAAAGTAAAAAAGGTGATTTCATGAATACTAGTTTATTCACTCAGAATTTTAAATCAGTTTAAACTAAACATGTTATTTAGAGATTTTTATTTATTTACATTTTGTACAGAAGATAGCATTTGTTTGGAATTTGTTATCATTTTTGTTGTTTAAGATATTTAAACAAATGTTGATTTCTTTATTGAAAAAAAGCTTTTTATTAATTTATTTATTTTTTACATGTTATGAAAAAATGACAACTTTTTATTTAAAATTTTGCTTACACAATAGTTATATACTCAAACATAAAAAAAAGATTAATTAAGAGAAACTGCATGGGTATTTTAAATTAGTTTATTTTTATAAATGGTAGTGGGTTTCTATACCTGTGGATATCATGATCTAAATAAAAGTGCAAAAAGTCTTAGATTTGTCTGCTCAAACTGTTTAAATGTGTATTTCTAAGAAACAAAACGTGCAAAAAAGTATTAAAGTTCAAATGAAATCAAGATATTTAATGTTTATTTTGCTAGCAAACATTGTTATTCCTTATTTGAACAATTAATCTCAATTTAGGTGAATAATTTGGGTGAAAAAGTTAATAAACTGTAAAAAAAATATATATACATAGTTTTGGTAGTCTTTAATCAAAGTCTTATCATTTGTTTCCACATTTTAAGTTATATCCTTCTCTGTTGACATCAGCTTGATGGCTTTAGCCAATATATTCTTAACCACACCCCTCTTACCGTTAGTTTGCTATGAGGGAATAATGTGCAAGAAGAAAGCCCTGCCGCCTACTCTATATTCCATTTTAATAGGAAGTACATCACCATACTGAACAATAAGCCTCAACCCCTAGTTCATGTGGGCTTTAATATTACATGTTTCTGTTGCCACCATCTGTACAGCTTTACCAGCACCACTGCTTTTAGATGTTAGTCTGGAGCTCCACTCTCTGTTTAACACTTTTCATGCTCTGTACGTTGGCAGGATGGCTCTTTATATCACGTTCAGACGCAGAAGTGTGTTGAAGCAGTGGATCGGACTGATGCTGGGAGTCCTGGACCTGCTCTTCGGCCTTGCTCAGACTCTGATGCTCAGAAGTGGTTCTTTGAAGAGAGAACATAGCAGAGGTTCTCACTACACCCTTCATCCGCACTACTGTCAAAGGGCATTTCATATCAGCTGCTCTGACTACACACCATTCCACTTCCTCCTCCTCCTTTTAGGATTAATAGTGCCTTCCTGTTACACTGAGTGCAGCTTACAGACCATATCTGTTCAGATCAGACAAATATAACTTATTTTTGTGAATTATTAACTCATAAATTTGTTTAGAATTATAAAACCAGAGGAGAATTATCAGTTTTGTGCCATTTGTGTTGGAGTTTTGGATTTATGAGGAAAGTAAGGGAAGTAAGTGACCAACAAAATGCAACTTTGTAAGTTTTAATTTTTAAAGAAATAAATAAGCTTATGAAGCAAGAGTTGTTCAAATTGATTAAAAGTGACATTTGTAATATAAAAGACTTCTATTTTAGCAATATTCTGTGCATAAAATAATCATGAAAATGTGTCAGTATTTACCAAAACATGACGTTAAAATGATGAGAAATATTTCTTGAGCACCTGAAATTATACACTCTCACAAATAAAGATACACAAGCTGTCACTTTGGTGGTACCTTTTCAAAAGGTACAAATTTATACCTAAAGGGTCTATTATTGCATATTGGTATCTCAAACATATATATTAGTGCCTCAAAAATTTACGAGGAACACTTATGTACTTTTTAGGTACTAATATGTATCCTTGGGATATTAATATGGACCTTTTAGGCACAAATTTGTAGCTTTTGAAAAGGTACCACCCCAGTGACAGCTTTCATACCTTTATTTCTGAGAGTGTAAATATTAAAATGATTTCTGAAGAATCTATGCAAAATACTGTGGAAAAGCTATGGAAAACATGAAAATATTTACCAATTTCAAAGATTTATAATAAGTTTTTTTGTTTTAATAAAACTTCAAACGACTGATGTAGTCTTCTAAATCTAAATATATTATATATCATGTTTTATATAACAATATTGATATTAATATCAACGTTTAAACTTCGCAAGAGTTAAAAATATCGATATATAGAATAAAATTGAATAAAAGTGAGATTTGTATTTTAAAATATTTCCCCTCAAGAAGATTCTGTTCATAAAATAATCATGAAAATTTCAGTTTTCACAAAAACAGGATCAACATTAAAAATAAAAAAATATTTCTTGAGCACCTGATATTATAAACATTAGAATTATTTCAGAAGAACCTTCTTTTAAAGAAAAAAATCTGCTTTGCCATTACCGTAATTATTGCCATTTTAAAATACTGTGGAAAAGCTATGGAAAATATTGAAAGATTTATCAATATTAAAGCTTTAACTTCACAAGAGTTATCAACATTTGGTGGAAAAGAATATTAAAAGGGACATTTCTATTATAAAATATTTCCCCTCAAGAATATTCTATTCATAAAACAATCATAAAAATGTATCACTTTTCACAACAACATGATTACATTTTAAAAGTAATAAGAAATATTTCTTAAACACCAGATATTATTCATATTAGAATCATTTCTGAAAAATTCTGTTTTAAAAAAAAATTGTCAACTTTGCCATCACTGGAATATTTGGCATTTGAAAGTACAGCTATGGAAAATATTAAAAGATTCACCAATTTCAAAGATTTACAGATTTTGTGTTTGAAAAAGCTTCAAACTACTGCTGTAATTTCTTCTAAATCTAAATATATTATATGTCACATTTCATATACATTATTTGACAACACAATATCAAAGTTTTCACTTCACAATAGTTTAAAAAATCGATATTTGGTGGAATAAGTATGATTTCTCATCACAAGTGAAAACATTTGTTATTCTGACCAATTATTTGAGTGAAAAAAGCTTTAAATTACCCTATTTTTTAAATAACAAATATAGTCAGATTTTTTACATTTTACTCAAACACACTTGTTAAATCCAGTAAATTTTTTTCATTTTATCCTGGTCTATAAATTCAGACAAAAAAAAACAGCTATTTAAATGAGTAAAACTCCAAAAATATCACATTTTCAACTTTTTTTATCATAAATAAATGCAACACTCGATGAGCAGAAGTTCAAAATCATTTCTAAAATCATTCCAATATCAAACTTTAGCTTTTTAGTATATGTTTACACCAAGTATCCAAATCACAGACCTTATTTAAATCATAAATCCAAAACTGCCATTCAGCAAGATTAGTCTTCCAAGATGACCTGCAAATCTAAACCTAACCAAGCACCTCAATTGTTCTGCAGGACAAAAACACCGTATTTAACCACTCATTATAACCTCCGGGTCTCTCTGTTGCACTCGACAATCATTAGCATTTCACAAGATGGTAATTCGAGTTATTTTAATCAGCCAGTCCTGCCAGCTCCATCTGCTGGTGTCTTGCTCTCTTCTGCTGTTCCACAAATCAGCCTCTATTTATTCAAATGATTTAGCTTGACATAAAAAATAAATAAAACTCTTGATACCTGATGTAAGTCAGATCTCACTTGCACACAGAAAGTCTCTTGGCACCTTTTTGTTTAAATGCTTTGCTGTAAAAACAGTAGTGCTGGTTGGCAGTGGCGCCATTGCAATCATCTTTCCAACCACTTGATGGTGCCAAACTGTCCGTTTTACTCCTGTGTCCTCCATGTTGTAACATCAGCTCATATTTTTTTACACGTCTGTAATTTCAGTAGCGAACTTCGTGCTGGGACACACAATTACTGTTAAAAAGTGTACAGTGATTGTTAGTTATGGCAGTCTACCTCTAGTTATTTATTTGCTGTAGAGAATAGATTGTCTTTTGGAGGGAATGAAACTGAGCTGCACGTCACAGCAAATACTGTAGATTGTAGTTGCCAAATTGTTGTGATTTTCGGGTTCTTATTTCTCCCAATTGAAGAGAAACAAAGTTAGATAGTTAGTTTATTGATCTATAGGTGTCAATCACCGCTGGGTAGATTTCTGATGCTGAATAATTATCGTTTCAAGCTAATATTATACCTGACACACTTTACAATAAGGTTTTATTAGTTAATGCTAGTTAATGCATTTGCCAACATGAACAAACAATGAATTATAGACTTATTACAGGTTTTGTTTAGGTTAGTTATTGAAAATCTCATGGTCATGTTAACTTACAGTGAATTTGGATTTTAAAAAGGCATTAGCAAATGTTACACTATGATTAATAAATGCTGTACACGTATTGTTCATGTTAGTTAATACATTAACTAATGAATTCTTATTAAAAAGTGTGACCGGTTTGTTCTATTTTTGTCATGTTAAAGGATTACTTTAAAAATGAGCTTTCTGTGATTTTTCTGTAGAACACAAAAGTAGATATTTTGAAGAATGTTAATGCTGCTATTTTCTTTAACATGCCACTGAAGTCATATGAAAGTTTTGCGTGAGGAATGGGCAACAATTAAAATTACTGATTGGGAAAAAAAAATCTACTTTTGCTACACGCTTTAGGAAAAATAATTCAAATTAGGATTGCAGAGTTCTTTTTAGTACCAAGTAAAAACTTATAAAAAGGTTTCCTTAAAATACATATTTATACTATCATAACAGTAGCATCTATATTAGTAATACAAGTACTTTTTAAATTAATATTAGAATTAAATAATACTATACTATTTATTATTTAATATTTTCAGTTGTTATTTTATAGTAATTTATAATCATTTCTATTAGACAACAGTAATAAAATTATTATTAATATTTTATTATTGTTATTTATTATTATTATTAGTTGTCTGGTCTTGTATTTCCCCTTTTCAAACCCATTACAAATACCCAACAGAATGTACCATTTGGGTAATGCAAAGTTTTTTATTAGTGTGAACTTTTAGTAAAAATGAACATATTAATAATGATTCTTAAGGACGGCAATATGATACAATATTCACAGTTACGATATTTAACTCCTATTAAGTGCAAAAGACCTTTAATGAACCACATTTTTTATGTAGAGTGGAGTTGGAGTGCCACAAACCATTTAAAATCGTACATTTATATACGACTCAACTTCTACGAATTCATATGAAGTAGCTTGCTCAAAAATTTCATTTTAATTATTGAATCACGTGCATAGACTGGTGAAGTTTGCCCTGCACGCTTGTGGTTTAAAAAAAAACTTCTTTGGTGCATCAATCTTGTCAATGCTATTATTCAAAAAATAATGATTCGCACTCATCAAGTAGGCTAATTGCTTCGTACTGTTTTATTTTTTTTATTTTTACATTCTTCGGGTGATTTAAAGACACAAATGTCTGGCACAATGCCTTCCGCCGTAAAAAAAAAAAATAATAAAAACAGTACGAAGCAATTAGCCTGCTTGATGAGTGCGAATCATTACCTTTTTGAATTTTAATTATTGAAAAATGTAACCAGATTTTTTTGTTTGTCCATATCAAATGTGTTTTAATCATGTTTAATCATGAAACATTAATGAAGATGCAAGAAGTAATAGCTTCTATGACATTCTGTTATAAAATATATCCTTTTGTGTTTTCCACGACACTCGAAGTAAAGCCTAATTTAAAATAATGTAAACGTCGACCCAACAGATGAGTTTGTTTGTATTTGATTCAAATTTAAGTTCGAGTGAAAGAAAAATGAAAGCGTGAGTAACTAAATACATTTTACTGAAGATGTTTAAGTGCCTTAAAGTGTTGAAATGAGGACTTTTGTTTTCTGAAAAAATGGTGAGAGGGACGTTTTCATGTTTGGTTAGGTTTACAGAATATATTTTTGGTGATGGGCCGGCTGAACATTGTTACGGGGAGAATCAGTTTGCTGTTGTGATTTGTTTCTAAAAGCATGTGACATGAGCTCAATATACTGGACAGATGTTTGCAGGGTCTCGCTGATAAGAAAGCGATTGCGAGATTGATTATATAACGAGAACCCATTATGTTTGCAGTTGTAGGGCTTTTCCTGAATGCTACAGCATCGGAATTGACATAGGCATTTGTTGAGGATCTGTGTGGATGACTATTTAAACACAATGCTGTTTGTATATAAACACAATGCCATATGCTCATTTCATATGATCCTCAATACAATTATGGAATTATAAACTGCAAACAATCATGCGTTCTCTACATAAATGTGGTTAAAAAGGTGATATCATATCATTTTGATCTTTAACCATACTCTATACTGACACATAGTTCTGACTCCAAAATAAATAATCGCCAAAAACATTAGTGTTGGTTACAAAAGCAGATGCACTTTTCTTAGAATTAAATGAACGATTTAACTGAAGTTTATTACTGTGCTGAAAGAAAATTCAGGTAATTTTTTATGTAAGTGACCTTAACATCAGAAATGAAGGTATTTTTCTTCTTTTTGTCTGGTAAATGTATTAATTATGGTTATTAAAATGTCTAGCTAAAAGGTGCGCTCGGTATGATTTTTTTGTTGTTGTTGTCATCCACATTCAGTAATGATGCATTTATTCCATCATGTCGAAATATAAAGTAATCAAAGCCACAATAATAATAATAATAATAATAATAATAATAATAATAATAATAATCCAGTGATTATGAAGTATATTTGAGATAATTGACTGTTTAGATCTGACTTTGTGAGATTATACACTGTAAAAAAAGTTGACTTTAGAGCTTTTTAGTTGACTCAACTTAAAGTTAGTCAAGTACAGTTCTTAAAAGTGGAGTCAACTCAAAAAAGCTGTACAGCAAGTTGCCTGACAACTTTAAGGTTTTCTTTTCACATTTTTAAAAATAATTTTAATTATTTAATTATTGGTTTTTCTGTGACATATTGGCATTACAGACTAGGGCTGGGTGATAAAATCGGTATTTATTGACCGAACACCATTGTCAATAACGATATAAAAAGAAATTCAGTATGAAGTTTCGTTATGAAGCGCTAAGGTTTTATTCAAATGTGGCTGCTGAATGCGGTGCAAATACGGAGCGGCGCGTACATGGTGTACAAGAAGAGTGCATGTGATGAGTGTGCATTTTCCAGGTGCACCTAGGCCACATTTACACTGTCAGGTGTTGATGCATAATTCCGATTTGTTGCCTATTTTGTAGCGTTTACATTCTTTTAATTGTGACCCATATCCGATTCATGTGTTTACACTTGCTATACAATTTACCACGTTGCACATGCTTAAAGGCAGGTCCTAGCATCTGTGCCACACTAGCCACGATGCAAGAAATTGTCTTGCTTTTAGCATTGCTAAATATACGAAGTTCGCCCAACTTTAAAATTTTAGGATGAGCACACACACACACACTCTTCCTTCTAAGTAATTAAACCACTGAGAAGTACCACATTGTTGCAATTTTTATTTATTATTTATTTTGTAGAGTCGTTCACGTTTTGGGTTGTCATCGCCACTTCGGGTCAGAATAACAACACATATGAAAATGAGTGCTGTATAGCAGCAGTGAGGATATTGTAAATAAAAAAGCACCAGAGTGGCTTTTTGGTTACTTTTCTTGTGCATGCCAGCCAATAGCTCCCCACCTGAAAGATTTATTAGCATAGGGTAATGAAGTCATCAAACTTCACAATTTGGGATGTTGCAATATGTAATGTTCCTTTACTTAAAGGCTCAGCATTGATTATCATAATTAGTTTTGTTTACGGAGTTTGAGGTTTACTTTATCATTATTATTCACATCTAAAGTTTGCTTTGATTGTTCAGCATTAACACTTCACCACTGCACACACTTTGTAACATTTTATCAAGTTTAAGAGTCTCTTTAACACTTATATCTCTTATAAAGAGATGAGATATATATATATATATATATATATATATATATATATATATATATATATATATATATATATATATATATATATATATATATATATATTTTATATTTGAGTTTTTGACTATTTAAACTATTTGCCTTAGTGATGTGGGTAAATTAAAATAAAGTGTT